ATTCTAGAAAAAAAAAAATAATATGGAACATTTAGTTAAAAGCGACATATAAATATGTTACAGAAATAGTAAGTATATAACAACCACCTTGCGCATGAATTCAGTTCTTAAGGAATGACATGTTTTTCCAATGAGGATCTTAGACTCTTTGTCCCAACAGACAATATCTGCATTAGCTGTTGAATCCGATATGCTCAAATTCATCTTGTATCTATTAAGGAGATAATAGTTAGAAAAAAAAAAAACAATCAAACTTAATACGTTTTTTTGAAAATTATAAATATACCTGAACTTCCCGACTTCTTTTGAGCATTTGCTACACTTGAAACCAGTGTCCGAATTCAGCATTTTGCTGCTGCAACTGCGGCAAGCGAAATACCACCAATCGCCCACAACAGAGTCAATGGAAGCACATATCCATATGCTTTTATCCTGTCGGGAAAATTCATTCAAGAATAATTATTACCAAATTAAAAATTCGAAGTGATAATTAAAATTCGAAATTAAAATATGTATATATATATATATACCTCTTTATTTTTGAACAAAGATTCCACCGAAGAAACTGGAATATCACCAGATTGCAATTCCTCCAATTCAGTCTTAATAATAGTTTTCGACTTGGAATTGTATTTTATCCTATTCAAATTGCTTGCTGTGTACCTACGAACGAAAATGCATTTTTAACATTTATATGATATAAATAAAGTAATAAAATTAAAAAAATTGATAAAGGTGTAATTCAATTTAACCTTCTCCAAAAGTCATGGATCTCCTCCACCGAATCGTGTGCAATTAGTTTAGTCATGTTTAAAAAAGTAGTAACTTGTACTTTTTCTACAAAAACAATTGTTAGATGGGGGCTCGTAGGTATTGAAAGTGAAAATAAAAACATTATTGAAGATACTTACTAAGGTATTCTTTTTCACGTGCTTGCTGCATGATGAGAACCCATGGTACTCCAGTATGTTCATAGTGGCTCTCAAAAGCCAACAGTTTGTCAACATAGTCGCCCCATACTGTGCAGTTTATGAAATTTTCACTACATTTAAAAAACAATGCATTTAATAAGAGCGAGTTCAAAAATATCTATACATTTCAATTTTATATAATATAATTAATTTTAGTTGTGTAAAGTTACTTTAAGTCCATGAGGATAAAGGCCACCATTTGTGTATCACCAGATACCTGCTTGTCTTGTACACTTTGGATGTCAATAACTAATCCAATGACGTCTACGAAAAAAATAAAATGGTTGTTAATCTATATTTATTTATAAATTTATAAGTAATTTGTAAATCAAATACGTAAAATAATATTCCCAAAAGTATAACGTAAAATTACCGAATAGAATTGACTCATCTATTTTGTTGACGTCTTGCATAGTTGCAAAGTCTCTGAATGAATATCGGAACATAGGAAAAGACAAAGTGTCTTTGCATTCCATAAATATAGTGTCCCCATGTAGGATTATCTTAAACTCGCCATCCGTAGATCTATACATACCAAGGTTGCTATCAACTTGGTAATTTCGTATCAGAATGACCATGCCCTCTTCAATGGACTTCTCTTTGAAACCCGGTAAGTAGACTGCTCTCAGAAATGTTGTAATGCGTTTTCCCTTCACCAATAAATTGAAATGGGAAATTTAAAAGTAATCTATATAATATGTAAATAACAAACAGAGAAATATGAAATCGATTAGAAATCCGTACCGTTCTATCATGCAAAATAAGCTCGAGATGCGACTTGAATGTGCTCCCCTTATCTTGATAAAACATCCTGATAATGCGGACTTTAAGCATTGGTCATTTGCTCCTGTTAATTTCTTCTATTAACCCAAATGCTTGATCCATCGGAGTGTTTTTTTTGTTCTAAAATATGCGATTGTAATATGTTCTTTTAACTGGAAGAAAATCTTTAGGAATCTTTTTTCCGTGTGGACTTTTGAAATCAAAATCGGCCAAGAATTTGTAATTATCACACGTTTTGAATGTTGAATGTAGGTATCAAATATCTTATCCTTATTATACGGATTTTGAAGCGGAAGATTATCCCCAATATCAACTCCTTGTATTACGAAATTTTGTTTCTTTAATTTATCAATAACCAAATATCCTCTCCTTATTAGATGGTTTGCAAGAAAAAATATTGCCAAAAGGACTCTGTTAAGAGGCGTGTAAATGGGGATGATTTCATGATAAATAATGCTGTATAATTAATGAGTTACTAATAATTGTTGCGTGTGGACTTTTGAAATCAAAATCTGCCAACAAATTGTAATTTATCACACGTTTTAACTGTTGATAGGATATATCAAATATATTATCCTTATTAAAAATAACCAAATATCCTCTCCTTATTAGATGGTTTCCAAGAAAAATATTGCGAAAAGGACTCTGTTAAGAGGCGTGTAAATTGGGATAATTTCTTGATAAATAATGTTGTATAGTTAATTAGTTAATAATTGTTGCGTGTGGACTTTTGAAATCAAAATCTGCCAACAAATTGTAATTTATCACATGTTTTAAATGTTGATAGGATATATCAAATATATTATCCATATTAAACAGATTTGAGGCTAAAGACTCCTTATTATACGGATTTTTTTTTTGGAACCAAAATAAAATGATGGGATAAGGACTGTTGTTAAAAGGAGTGTGCAATGTGAAAAGGACATGAATGTTGAATTAAATGGCTGTGTAAAAAGGACATAGAAGTTGCCTTTTTTGAAAATAAGTTAATGCAAAGTGGACTTTGACCAAGTAATCACCTACTAAATTTGATAAATGTTAAATCATATTATATAAGTATAGATAAATTTATTGCTAAACTAGCAATTATATATATATAGACTCGCTAACCATACACCCCCGCTAATCCCGAAGTCAGGGTCGGGTTATATATCTTTTCTCTTCAAAACCCTTCTGCTGTCCCCTCCATCTCCCCTTCCCCCATTCCTACATATAGTGGGTTTGTCAAAGTTGAAAATATAGATTGTGCGGCATCCTATATACTTATTCTTTTCTTTTTTCTGATTTGTTTATTTATCAGAGTTTTGTATGCAGATCGTTAATCGATGTTTAAGCTTCTTTGTCAAAAAACTCGGTGGTCACCTGAGATCCCAGAGTCCATGGTGCGGCAGCCACCGCCGCCTCGACTACCAAAGGCTGCCAGCAAAGATGAAGGGAACGCCCAGGTTGCACCCTTCAAATTCCTGCTTCCACGCGATCACCAGGTTAGGTCAGGTTAGGTTAGGTTACATCCATATAAATAATTTGTATCTTTTCTAGGTCAAAATCTCAGTTTTCCCCACCATATGCAGGTTATTGGTGGGCGCACATTCTACCCGAGGAGGTGTAAAAGGAATAGGCCAATTTCAGGCATAGACTCTCTATCCGATGAGTTGTTGTTGGAAATCCTTGCTCGCATCCCAGGCAAATATATTTACGAGGCAAGGCTTGTTTGCCGCAAATGGTACCATCTCCTTCACACCCGTGATTTCATGCGCTTCTACTTACAGCACGCCACTTATGGACTCCTATTCAAATGTAAAATTCTGGGGTCATATTTAATGCTCCCACAAGGAGGGGTCCAAGTGGAAATTTCTAGGTTGAGGTACAAACGCAGGCGCCCTATCACAAGCAGTTGTAATGGATTGTGGTTAGAGAATCAGCTAGGAGATAGGGATAATCTGTATGCCATGAATCCCACAACAGGCCAAGTCGTTATTCACCCTCCACTTGTGAAGCGTGTTCAAATTGGATTTCATGCAATTGGGTATGTGCCGGCTTCCATGGAGTATAAAGCGGTTATATTTTGGCCTCAGAGTGCAATATGCGAAAAGAGGTATTGTTATATATTAAACGTTGGAGTTGATAAATCATGGAAGAAAGTAGAATTCGAGTTCACAACACCATTGCGAAAGCCTCACTTGATGATTTCTGAAGGTTTCATGCATTGGACTCATCCCCCTACCAACGAAGTCTTGACTCTGAATCTGGAGACTGAAATTTTTACAGATACCCCTGGCCCTCCCCCTGTAGCTGGAACTAGGTATGTACACAATATTTACCTGTCGACTGGAAGGTATCTGTCGTTATTGCGTCGTTCTGGGGATTATTCGTGGGAGATTTGGGAGATGAGTCGACCGGAAAGGGGGGAATGGAGAAAGAAGGCAGATTTTTCATTGGAGGCTCACAAGGGAAGATTCGAAGAATTAGGTGTCCGACATGATAAGTTTTTAATCCCAGTTGGGTGGGTCAAGTATTCAGAGTTGTTGGCCCTGACATCTGATGATAAGAAGCACTTTACTGTTGTTTTTTTATACAATCTTGTGACGCAAGAATTCGATAAAATGGAGTTACCTTTCTACATAGGAATGTGCAAAATTATGGTGCATAAGAGTAGTTTGGAGTGGTTGGATGCTGCTGTGTAGCCTTCCCCCAATCATCTCCATTGCTTCACCGGTATTTAATTAATTATACTCTTTGTTCTACCTTTTCTAATTTATTCAAATATGTACTATTTGGGATATTTACTATTGTAAGCTATGAAAAGATTCTATTCGGTTGCTTTTGTTATTTCCTTTCTTGGACCAAGTCCAGTATTACATTGCATGTGTAACACCCCTTTTATTTAAAGAGAAGCACAGCATGTTCACATGCATTTCATTTATAGTTCGACTAAGTTTTAATCTCGATCTTAATTCAAATCCTTTAATCAAAATGAGAATTAAGTAGAGATGTTCTCAGTCTATTTAATTTTCTTAATAAGTTACCTAATAATAAAAAATAAAGATTTAATTGGATGTCTTCATCTTCTTCAATCCTTCTTATTGCTTTCTTGTTTTATTTAGAAATTTGTGGGATTCTGGCTTGTCGCTTGCCAGTGAGCAATTGAACTTGTTTACCTCTTTGACAGTGGGCAAGGAACATGATTCTGCAAGTAAGCACAAACTTTTCATTAAATTGTTTTTATATTTTGTCTTTATGGAAAAGGAGTTCAAAAATATTTTGGAAGTCAAAATAGTCTCTATTTGCTTAGACGAGGTTTAATGTAAACAATGATTTTACACATTTGGTTGAGTTTTTTTATATGTTTATTTGTTTATTTTTATTTTTTCATCTGGATAGGTCAATGTCATGGACACATTGAGCAGGCTCAGTCATGATGCCGACTCAGAAGTAGCAATGGTAATTTGATTCTCCTTCTTCCTCTTTTGTTTGGTATGAATTGAGAGAAATGGTCAAGTCAAGTTGTTGAACTACGGTTTTCGGAGTGTATGGTTTGTTAATTTATATAATTCCATTTGTCAATTTAAAATTCGCAGGGCAGCCATCATTTCATTGGGTTCGATAGGTGCTGGCACCAACAATGCTAGAATAGCTGGAATGCTTCAGAATCTTTCGAGCTATTATTATAAAATGCCAGCCTTCTATACTGTGTAAGGATTCCATGCATTTAAATTATAATAGGATTTTCGTACTCATTCGAATACTTATCCAAAATTGGTATTATGTAAAATCCAAAATGTGGTTCTTAATTCTCCAGGTACGGATTGCTCAAGGTCTTGTCCACCTGGGCAAAGGGTTGTTGACATTATCTTCATATCATTCTGAACGTTTTCTGTTGTCCCCGTAAGTATTATACTAATAGTTCATTTTACACTTATTGTCAATAGTGGGTTAGATTATATGCTTCCTGGAGCCTGGACTACGCATGGTTGCTTTGCTGTAAAACGGAAAAGAGAAATTCGTGTGTGTGTGTGTGTATTACATGGTTATACTTGGAAGGATGATAAGTCTTAAGCTGCATTTGTGTATGAGCTCATCTTTTGGAGGCTTTGGTTGGTATATATAGTGTTTTAGCCTTTGTAGTGAGATGAATGAACTCTAACATACTTTTATGCTGGATAATATGATTTGTAATATGATTTATGTTTTCCTTCTCGTAATTTACAAATAGCTCATGCAATATTATCCCCTGAATTTTCAACTTCCAGGAAAGTCGCTTGTTGGGCTTGTGATTATGCTGCATGCGTGTGATGAGAAGTGGGCCATTCGAGTGAAGCCGCACAGCGGCACAGGTTGCCACGCCGTGAAAGCCGTTGCGCCACGAGCTCCCCATTTCGTCATGCCGCATCACCTCCTCACGCCGCGAAGACCTGCAACGCCGCGACTAGCCATTATTTCTGCACGATGTCGAGTGGTTTTTTAGTAGTTTTTCGTCAGTTTTTCATTTGAATTATGTGTAAACCGTAGGAGATTATGTCTTGAGGAGATTATGAAATAACAAATAATAAAAAAGCTCGTCTTTGAGCGCAAATTCTCGTGTTAAACCGATGGCGGATAGTGCGGATTTTCACTATTCGAATCAAGGCTGTTAATGCAGGTTCTTACACAAAACCGAATCCTGATACATCAAAATAATATGGCTTTTCTTATAGACAAACTTGATGAACTCGTTTTTCTTTCCTTTTTTTTTTTTTTTGGAAAATTGCAA